GGAGTAGAATATGCTAAATACAAGACTAGAGTAGTTGCAAAGGGTTTCAGTCAAACCTTAGCTGTAGGGTTTATAGATTTATTCTCTTCAGTGGCTAAGCATAGTTCAATTCAAACTTTACATAATATTGTGGTTAATCATAACTCGAGTTTGAACAACTAGATGTAATGACCGCATTTTTACATAAAAAACTTGAGGTTATCTATATGCAACAACTTGAATGCTTCATGGCTACATGAAAAGAAGACCATGCTTGTTTGTTCAAGGCTTTTTACGATTTAAAATAATCTCCTAGGTGGTGGTATAAGAAATTTAACTCATTTATAATTGCTCATGAGTTTAAGAGTAGTTATGATTGTTTTGTTTTCTGTAAGAGAAACATTGATATAATATTTATCTTCTTGCTCTTATATATTAATGATGTGCTGAAAGTTGATATGAATAATAGAGAAATAAAGAAATGGAAGACTCAATTTAGTAGTAAGTTTGAGATGAGAGTTTTAAGATTTGCAAAAAAAATTGTAGCCTGGTGATTCAAAGAGATTGAAAGACAACATTTTCGTGTCAGAAATGGTGCATTGACAAAATCTTGCACATATTTAATTTTTATAATTTCAAACGTATTAATATTCTATTTGTTTCATGTTTTAGACTCTCATCAGTTTTGTATCCACTGTCAAATAGTTAGTTTGAGTATATGTCTTGAGTTTCAAATTTTAGTACCGTGAGATCTCTCACATATGCTTTGTTATATTTTCTGCAATTAGCAGGCACATGAGTAATCCGAGTAAGGAGAATTGAAAGCAGTTCAGTAGATTCTCAAATATTTGTGTAGAACTAAAGATGTTTGTTTAAGAGAACTACAAATAGAGTTATTGGCTATGTTGATTTAAACTTTGTTGGAGACATTGATAGGAGGTAATCACTTATAGCATATGTGTTTACCATTGTTACTGTGCTATTAGCTGGAATCTTGCTTTGCATATTATAATATTATTTTATATAACTGAAATATACATGACAATTATTGAAGTTTATAAAGAAGTTTTTTGGTTGAAAGGCTCTTTTGGAGAGTTTCGTGAAGATTTGAAAATTTTTATAGTAATGTGTTACTAAGAATCAGTTGCTCATGAAAAAAATAAGCATATTGATGCTCGTTATCATTTCATTTATAAAGTTATTGCTCCTGGTGATATTCCTGTAAGCAAAATTAGTACCTTCAGACATTTCCAAAGCTAAGTTTGAGCATTGTTTAGGCATAGTTGGTATGTATTGTTTATCCCGTTTTGTGAAATATGTGGAGAATATTCTTTCAAAGATCGAAGATCTATTATGCATTTATTAAAATTTGTGTCGAGGCAAATACTTTTAAATTTGTGATTCAATTTTTTTAGGGCCCACTTTAATAGGAAATTATGATCACATTGATTGAGATTCACTTCCGTCGAATTTATCTTATTATAGCATTTAGATTGCAATCCGTGTTCTTGTTTTATTGACCCATTTGGTGTTCTTCCTTATAAATGGACTTGTAGAAGTTTATAAATACCTCAACCTTTTGTACAAGAAAAATATTCCCTTTCTTTGGTGAGATCTTATGTGAGCTGACACTATATATATATATTTGTTCTTTCATTTAATAGTTTCATTTCTCTTGTTGTTCATCACAGTTATTTCATACTAACAGATAAAGTTTAATAGAGAAAGGAAAAATTAGAGAGACATGCTCTGGAATTTTAGTAGATTTCCATCAGAAAATATAAGCTGGTCTACTTTGAGCCAATCAAAATTTGAACCCATACTATTGAATGTGTTAGGCCTTGTTATAATTGAGTTGCAATAGGAAGATTATGTACTAAGTTTTAACAATGCTTTTTATAATAGGGGCATTTACATACATACCTCCCAATTTCTCCATATTTACATTTCTGATGCCTAAACTTCACTTTTGAACTTTTAAAAGTGAAATACAACTTTTCATGCATATGTAAAGATTACATGTATGTTAAAAATTGAAGTATGTGTTAGATATGTAAATACATAAGAATTGAGTGGTATGCATGTAAATCTCTCGTTATAAAAATATCCAAATCTTTTTTAAACTTTTGCTCTTAAAATGTATTAATAACTCCTGACAAGTTCAATGTTGAGGGCGAGATCTTTTGAGGAATAGCTTCTTTTGCCAAGTCCTACGGTGAGATCCCTCAATAAATCTAATTTTATTCTAAGCGGCCAATTAGTCTTATATGAATCTTCTACTTTAATTGCCGAATTTGTCGCCAAGTAGATCATCTCTTCTCACGTCTTCTTCTTTGTGACGAGTTAATTTAGGTGACTCGGCAACATTAAGGTGGTGTTTGGCCGCAACATAGATTTATTTTAAATAGAATTTACCAAATACGGTCGCAAACAGAGGAGCTTGCGAGTGACGACGAAATAATTTTGCCTGGTAATCAGATTTACTAAATCTAAATTTACGTCGTAAAATATACAGAAAATGAGAAACGTAGATTTATCGGATTTAATTTTTCATTTTTTAGCTGGATTTAGTTAAATCCGTGGCTAAATCCTATTAGCAGGAAGCTACCAAACACCACCTAAGCTCTCATCGAGTTTGCTTAAATGTTTAGCCATTTGTTGAACTCGATTCATAATAATAATACGATCCGATTAACTTTAGTCGCGCAACATTAGTCGACTCCAACAATATTAGTCGCGCAACATGAATTTATGCTTTGCTTGCAGCCCCCCAAAAAGTGGAGAAAGTGTAATTTCTTGGAATCTAACCTTACTTCTGTCACATAAAATGTTTCATGAAAATGAAACAAAGCTATCTATGATTCCAATCTGCCTATTTATACCCTCATAACCTCTCAATCAAAATCAGACAAACTTCGATTTTTTTTTATTTTTAAATTACTGTTTGCTTCCCATGTTCATGGAGCAATATCCAAAGAGTGAAGAACTGAAAAGCCATTGCTGCTGCATCAACATCTGTGTCAACAACAATGTACAGGGAGTGACCAACTCTTTTCTTCTGGGAAGTAAAATTATTATGAGAGATACAGGAGCTCGGATGTTGTATAGAAGAGATTTTTGCAGGAAAATTTTTCTTAAGAGGTCAGGATGTGAAGGGATAGGCTTCTACTGTGCATTACTGCTTTCTTCTGTGTTACTGATTCTTCTCATCTGAAAGTAGAGTTAATTTGGAGGAATAGCTGCATACATACCACTCAATTCGATATGTATTTTACATTTGTGCCACCTTATGCATTAAAAGGTGTATTTCAGTTTTTTTAAAGTTAAAATAGTGGTATATTTGACGTGATATGGAAAGATTTGGGTTGTATACATGTAAAATGTATAAGTTTGGGTGTTAGATATGTAAATACGTAGGAATTGGGGGGTATGTATCTAGGGTTCTTAACGAGTTGATTTCGAGTGGAGCTGGGGCTGGTTTCAAATTAGCTCTAATGGATCAACTTCGAATCAAAACCGGCCCGTGGCTCGTTTTGTTTGATATTGAGCTTGCTTGCTCAAATTGAATCGTGATCGATCCAACTCTAAATCGAAATGAGCTGGCTCAAATTTGAGTTATTTGGATCCGTTCCAACTAGTTGGCTCAATCATGCCCAAAATTGAAATAAGATGGCTCAAATTGAGCTATTTTGATCTATTTCAACTCGAAATCGGCTCGTGACTTGTTACATTCGATTTTATCTAACATTATACATAACCTTTATAAATAAAAATTAATTTGAACCGATCTCAAGCTATCCATATATGGCTCTAAGTCGACTCAAAAAACATCCGACGTTAATTTCAATCTAATCTCCATCCTAAGTTAAAATTTGAATCAATTTTCGAGTGATTAACGATCTTCAAGCTAAATTCACAATCCAACTCATATTCACATACCATCCTGACCATATTGAGTGATAACCGTTCATACACTCACCATCCTGACCATATTGAGTGATAACCGTTCATACGCTCCAACATTTCCAAAACCGCATATTATTTCGCCGAATTGACCACCTCACATCTCAACTTTCACCATCACATAATCTTCATGTCCCACTTTAACAAGATAAGCCACCTCAATGACCCCTCAACCACTCTAAACTTCTTCATAAAACATGATCACATGTTAATTTACAATCAATCACCTAGCATAAATGCTTCTCCTTCCACTTTTCCAAGCCAATGTAGGTGTAAATATCAAATTTTAAGTGCTAATTATGTAAATACAAAAAAAATTATGGTATTTTTGTAAATTTCTTTATAATATTTTTTGTCCTATATGATTTAGTATTGGGGGTTTCACATGCATAGCATAACACTATATTGAAGTATTCAAATGCCAAACATCCAAAACTAACATCCAAATCTATTACATGATGCTTTTCGTATTATTCTAATGTAAAAGGATTATGTCACAATCAAATTTGTAGAGGTTTCATACTAAGTTAGCCCTTATTTTCTACTATAAACATACGACCAATACATTATAACTGATGAACGCATATTTTGATAATCATCCTCATGTAGCCGACCTACTCTTTTTTAATGTAATCCCAAACCTTGTCGGTCAAATTTTCAGCTATATACAGCATATTTCCTGAAATTACGCATACCTACCAATATCACAATTTTTTTTATTCATTTACCCCCTGGACAAATCACACAATCATCACCACTCCCGAGGAAAAAAATATCCGATCCACATCCAAAAATAAAAAAAAATACATAAAACACCCTACATAAAGGGTTAGAATTGTGAAAAAATATTGCATCTACATCAGGACTACAAACAGGGTCTGCCACATATACAGGCAAGCATGCCCATGCATTAAAAAGTTTTATTTATTATATGGGTGGGTCTGTCTGTACATATGACAGACCCTGATTGAAATGCTCCTGATGCAATATTTTTTCCAGAATTACAAAACCGTAGATTCCAAACTAGAGGCACCACACAGATAAATAACAATATATCTACAACAATTGTCTAACTTTTACCCTTGGAAGACCTCAAACATTAGAGACCAGAATATATATTCCACCAGATGAGAAAATGTCTCAGCACAATTCCTAAAACACATAAATGATTCAAACTAAATCATAAAAATTTTACAATTTTATCATCTTCAGGAGAACCACTACAGCCCAAATATGTATAAGAAGAATAAGAGCACCATTGCTCTTCTTCTTCAAATCTCCAAACCTCCATGAGATACATACACATACACTAACCTGCAGCCTTTAAAAGAGCCCCCATGACTAGAGAGATCTGACTGCTTGTGAGCTCCTCTTCCCTTTCCTGGATTTCTTGTTCTCCTGCATCTTCTTCTTCTTCTCCTCCGGTGTGGTCCACGTGTAATCTGGTGGTATCAAGAACGGATCCTGCATGTCTTCGACGCGATTGCCGGAGCCCAGAGGCATCAACGCCATCGGGTAGTTCTGACGGTACGGACCTTTTAGCCACTGAAGCCATGATGCCGAGGGCTGCACGAGGGTGGAGGGGCTCTTGCTGCCGGGGCTTGAAGGTGGCGTTGTGAACTCTTCGGCTGGTTGTAGTTCTTCGAATTTTGTGAATGTAACCAGAACTCTAATGGTGGGTATTACGGGGATGGCGACCTGCAAAAGATGGAGTTGGGTGTGTTTATGAGAGAACTTGATGGATAGATTTGCAAAGATGAACTATATATAGATGATATGATATTGCATTGATTGGAATAAAATCATGAAAAGGTAGAATTTAGAGAGAAATGGAGAAGTGATATACTAAGTTTGGTGTGAAGGTGCGATGTTTCTTAATTAGGCCAACAACAACAACAACAACAACAAAACTTTTATTCCACAAAGTGGGGTCAGCTACATGAATCTTTTTTCTCCATTGCGTCCTATTTAGTGCCATATTTTCATTTAAATCTAACAAAAAACTTAATAATTTTGTTCTATAAAATTTAATGGTAACAAGTATATATTTTTTGATGTTATAAGTAGCTATTAGTCAATTTAAAGGCATGAAATGTTTATTGCACGCAACCATTCAAACTTGGGGTGTAAAACACCTGTCTCGCCAACAAGAGCTTCTTACCATTAAGAAAAGACCCTTCAATAATCTTTTATAAGAAATTCAAGCAAATCAATCATGTACTTTGATATTACCAATTTTTTCAAGGGCATAAATCTTCGAAATTAGAATGTATTTTCCAAATTGATCTATGAAACAATGATCTCATCAATAATGGCAAAAATAATTCTTACTTTGAATGTACGGTTCCCTCCAAATTCATGCCAATCATTATCATATCACAACAATCTAGTGGTAGATCCATAAATACACACATTCCAAGTAATTCATGTTAAGTGTAGCCCATAGTTTCCCCTTCCTAGTCCAGCATTAGCCTACCAGCCTCATCGATGCATGCTATATCTGCATGCCAATATCACTAAGTTATTCTAACAGACCCTAAGTTATTCTACTTCATATATTTAGTAGGCGTTATCGCCACAATCTCTTAAATAATAATCTCTTAATAATCAACAGCTGCGCCAAACAGACCCTAAGTTATTCTACTTCATATATTTAGTAGGCGTTATCGCCACAATCTCTTAAATAATTCTCTCAAACTATCATTCCTTACTTTAGCACACATGCTTAGTATCCTGCTTAATTATTCACATTTCTGTCATACTTCACTAAGTTGTTAATCGCTCCATCAAACTATCATTCCTTACTTTAGCACACATGCTTAATATCCTTCTTAATTATTCACATTTCTGTCATACTTCACTAAGTTGTTAATCGCTCCATCATCAACATTCAAATATAAATAATATACTTAGTTTAGCAGTAATTTTAAATAATTCACCTTTAATTGCCCATTATATTCACTCATTGTGTGGTATTTATAGAGCCTCTCTTCACATCTTAACTCTACAAGTTGTATCCTCATTTATATCCATGTTATTCTAAATAATTGATCCAAGATTTTTAATCCAACCATCCACCAAGGTATACCTTGATCTTTTGGCAGTACTGACCCAAAATCATCAATTCTCACCAACTAAAATTGTATTTCATTTACTAAGGTTTCATTCTACAATAATCTAAGCTCCTTATCTTTTCTAATGTTTAGACTTTCCATTTATTGGTGGCAAATATCTTATCGATTAAAATTATATTATTTGCAAATAACATACTCGCTTTGAAACCTTTACAAGCATCTCTAGAATCAATTCAAAACATATGAATTTAAAGTTGATCCTTGATGTATTTATGCCATGATTGAAATGATTTTTTGGCCACTATAAAACTACATTTAATCAACACTATCATTTAAAACTTCACTAACTTCATAGTAGCTTCAATGCATATATTTTCTTAATTCACTCAAAATTAAAGCTCATACTCAATCATGTCTTCTTAATTTCAAGAAAAGAACCCTTCCATTGAACTCTATATTTTTTCTTCAATTGCCTACGCACAAAATTGCATAATAACAGATTGATTCTCCAATATTCACGTGAATTTTCTAAGTTCGCATTACCTTACCTCTCTATAACTTCATCGTTCACAACTTAAGTTTGATTCCTTAAGAATAATCTAACTCCTAACCATTTTCATTGTTAAGAAAATGCTACAAAAAAGCCCTTTTCCGATAAGTTCGCATCCTCTTAGAAATGAAGTTCCACAAGAAAGATAAAACCGAACCGATCAAATACGTTTAATATTTTATCAAATCTAAAGAGCTCCTTTGTGTGGATTTAAAGCATTATAAGTATAATCATACTTTGTCACACCTAGCTCAACTTCACTCTTCAAACATTTTATCCACTACCATCCGTATAATATTCCTATCATTAACCTTCCTAACATACAATAGCATGTGCATTTCTCAATTGCTAAGCATTTTTCACTTCTAATTTATTGCAATCATGCAATGTTTACTTATCTATCATGTGTCTCATCCTAAGTCCCTAAAATTCACGTCGCAACTCTCACTAAATAATAAGGTTACTACAATTACATTTAGTTATTAACTATCTTTACTTGAAACAAATATCTCCAAGATAAATGAGAAGCATTTACAAACTAATCGCCAAAGATTGCAATAGTAGGCTGCCAGCTTAAGAGCTGTAACTCTTCTTTCATAAACTGTGCAATGCATGATCTCATGCTGAGATTTAAACATCAAATTTTACAAAATTGAATTACATTGATTATGTGATATCGAGTCGAGCATTAGAAGAATAAGGAGTCAGGGAAAGTTGGGTGATATATGAGAATATTAAGGCAGATAAATGATACAGCTATAAAGAATTAAGAAATAATTATACTAGAGAAATGCTCAGCGCTACAAATGAGGGTAAAAGAAAGTTTAGAAGATGAACCAACAATCAAGGTAAGCTAATTAATATGATATTTGTAAGAAAAAAGATATACACAAAATATAATCAGTAGATGTTGTTGCACAAGATTTGCACAAATTAGAGTTAGGAAGTCAGATTGACAATTATGTTTCAAACCAAAAAAAACACATTCGATAATCGCTCCAATTATAATTGATCTGGAATCAAAATTGATTTTCTTTGATTCAAGGTTGGCAATATTAATTCAATTTAACTTGAAAAAATCAACTTGATTCATGTGAAAACTCTAAGTATACACTTCTATTTTATATAACTCCACTTTAAGAATTAAGGAAAAAAAACTCAAGTACAAGTGTGTGTATAATCTCGTTTAGAAATTACTAATAGAAATGGCTGCAAATAGCTAAATAAACTTACTCAAAATCGATCATTTTCACCTAGCACAAAATCAGATGGAACCAAAAGTTTCAATTTTCAATTTTCAATTAAGACGAGCTTGCTCAAACTTGACTCAATACCATCCCCAAAAGGAATGAAGAGAAAAATAAAAGGATTCATGAATTTGTCATTAAATTAATATAATAAGAAAATGAAACTGATGGTGATCAGGATTAAGCCACATACACTGTCCTATGAAATGTGGAGATGCAAGAAACGTCAAGCTAATAGGATCTCAAATTTACGTGCAATGGGAAAAAGTACAGTGCAAAGTGAACAAACAGAACAAAATGAAGTACTGAGAGCTTTTGTTTATAAAGTAATAACCCAGAGCAAAAAATAAATAAATAAACAAATTAAAATTACATGCAAATTTCGTAGAAAGATGGTTATTAAAAAAAAAAAAGAGATTTTCAGACCAAGGTTGCGGAATATTTGAAGAAATTCAACCTCAATCCTCAAATCACATAAAATTATAAATAATCAAGGTAAATGGGACCAGATGAGAGAGAGAAGTAATTAAAGAGAAAGGGAAAGAAGAACAAATCAGGGAGGAGATTCCAACAGCTTTTATTCAAGCTCCACGCTCAGAATCAAGCGAAGAGTCGACATCCAAAATACAAGTTAACATTTATTCATTATCAAAAAGGAATCCCAAAACAAAAACAAAATCTATCCAGAAATGTGGAAAAGGATGAATTTTTAGAAAAAGTAACCGCCAAGAATGCAATTTGCAATCAGGAAAATGAAATTTGCAATTTGCAATTTGATTGGAATCAAATAAGAATCCCAGAACAAAAATAAAAATCTATCCATAAATGTTAAAAAGGATGAATTTTTAGAAAAAGTAACCGCCAAGAATGCAATTTGCAATGAGGACAACAAAATTTGCAATTTGCAATTTGATTGCAATCAAATAGGAATCCCAGAACAAAAACAAAATCTATCCATAAATGTTGAAAAGGATGAATTTTTAGAAAAAGTAACCGCCAATGATGCAATTTTCAATCAGGACAATGAATGCCCTCTAAAATTCACATCAAGATCTTGTATGAATAAATCATTAGTTTTGGAAATGTCTCATAACTTGCCTAATCAAGCCAATGAGCTCAGAAAGCCACTAATACGTTAAGGGGCATTTACATACACACCCAATTTTTGTATATTTACATAATTAACGCCCAAACTTTAATTTTTACACTTATACAACACAAATATTTCATATCACAGCAAAATGCCACTATTTTAACTTTTAAAAAATAAAATACACCTTTCCATGCATAGGTAAGTTGGCATATATGCAAAAATTGAAATTTAGATATCAGCTATGTAAATAGCGGGAATTGAGTGACAGGTGTGTAAAACTTGCCGAGTTGAAACTATAGAGATTTTACCGCCACTCTTTAAAGCAAACCTTGCAAAAAAATAAGCATAAAGGTAACAACCTTAAGGACAATGATATAAAAGTTTCAAAAACTTCACCCTGCTTTGCCAGTCCCCTCAAACAAAACCATGGTGGTGGAGCCGGAAGCATTGAAAAAGACAGTAATTTATAAAATGAATTTTACGATATATTACTCTGATCTTTCATACGTGACTATTAATAAGTAAATTAAAATATAAAATTATCATTCAGTGCCTTTTTGGCTAATATCTAAAATCAATTCAATTTAGCTAATATTTACTCTAAATTACATTTCCATAATAAAAATAATTTCGTTCAGTGTCTTAGAAATTTATTTGACATAAATTTCAAAATATTTGTTTATTTTCAATTTATTAATTATGTAGATATTGCTCTATTAATTACATACATACATATCATGTAAAAAATTTGCTCATTTTTATTATCTCAAACAAACATATTTTAAATAAATTTCTTTTATTCTAAATATCGACCATCTAATGATCCGGTTAGGAGAGCAGATGTTTTAATGATCCGATTAGAAGAGCAGATGTTTTAGATTTGACTTGTGTTAAGAAAAATAGAGGTAAACCTAAAAAAACTTGGGCATATTGTATAAAAAAGATCTTAATATATAAGAATTAAATGAAAAGATGAAACTCAACAGGACACAATGGAGAAAAATAATTCATGTAGCTGACCCCACTTAGAGGGATAAAGGCTTGTTGTTGTTGTCTTTCATTCTAAATTTTCTATATTTTCATTAAACTTACTAATTATGTTTATTCTGATTAATTCACTACAAATTATTAATTAGGTATTTACTTCATTCTCAATGAATTAGCATATTTGGGGGCTTGATTTCTATACCATTAAGATTTATTGAGTTGTTTAAATACGACTTGATATATAATATCATATATTTATGTTATAAACTCATTAAATTATACTATGTAATATAAAGTTACATGTTCCTTTGCCAAGTGTTTGTACAGCCTCCTACTAGTTTATTAAAGGATCCAATATGTCAAAACAGGTCATACAGCAACTAGTTAATCTATTTTTTGAAGCATACTTTTGAGATGCTTTTTGTGAATGTTTGGTGCTTTTTCTAGAGAATTAAGTTGGCATTCCTCATTGTACATATATCTAATAAGACGATAAGACAACTAAAGAGTTGATGAGGATAAATTCAAAAATCATTTTGAAGTAATCTTGATACATTCAACTAAATCAATATTTAGAATTTAATTGTTATGTTCAAGTATTTAATTTGTAATTGTTTTTTGAGAGATTATTTGCAATTTGATTAGTTTGATTAATTTATTCACCACAACATTCCAAGAGACCATTGGATAAGTATTCTTGTATGCTCGGGAATTTGGATTTTCCTAATCAATTAGGAAAGGTATAAAAGTTGTACTTGCAAGTATAAAAGAGAGCACATACGTAGTCCAATCAACCTTTGTAAAATCAAAAGTGTAATTTAAGGAGAGGGTATCTTTACCATAAGCAGGGACATTTGTAAACTCTTAAGCAAAGGGGAGCTTAAGTAGGAACCCCAGGCCAAATTTGACCAAATCCGAATACGCCAAATATGTCAGCATTGGAGCGAAATTCAAATAGCCCAAACACAACTTGTCTAGCTAGTTTATTATATAATTTCTAGGAAAAACTAATCCGAATAACATAAACACAAACCATTTAACCTTATTATGATGATATGAAGATTGAGAAGTGTCAAATCACATAAAAATATATTGTGTCCATCTTGGTCTCTTACTAGTTGTAATTTGTGCATATTCATTAATTTACATATTATACATAGCTTTGGTGATTCACGTGCTATATACTACACAAATCGCTATGCCAAATTTAATATATAACTAGTAAGTAATCATTTAATTGCTTGTCTTTAGCATAACAATCCTTGCGTATCATATTTGTCGTTGTGTTCAGAACACAGACATAATCATGCTTCTAGTGTTTGATAAAGAACGTGATATATAACTAATGTGATCAAGTATAATTATTATGCTCACTTGTAACATGACCCATAAAACTAGCTTATTCTCATATATGATAAAATACTTGTGTGATTACATGTGTGAGATACTTGATTACAACCTTGTGTTCTAGTGTCATTGAGTGTTATAAAATTTATACTGTGCATAATCTTGATTACACACTTTGTAGCATTGCATATCTTATATGCATTGTCACTTACATTTGTGCGTTTGTATGTATTTGCTTGATTGCTTATTCACATATATTTAATGTGAGTTTGAGTAGAGGAATTCAAAAATGTTATTCACACCTAATTCACCACCCCTACCCTCTTTGAGTGTGCCTTTAAGCTTTAATTGTACTAGAGCCTAATGCTCATTAGCTTAGTTGATACCTATAAAGCACTCTAAAAAACAATCTCTAACTTGGTACTCATTGAGAGACTTAAGTCACTTTTTTATACCACTCTAACAATCGGCACTAGGGTATTCACTTTTTATATTTAGCTTAACTAAGAGTTTGAGATCCTAATGAAAAACAAATATTTCATGGTCTTTCAATAAACACTAATAGTTGATTGTTTGTAAATTAATTGTTGGAAAATTGGCATGAAACCATCCGTCAAAGTTTTTGATTTGAAGATTTAAAATCTGAAGAAGAATGGCTATTCTACGACATATTTTCAAATAATTAACACTTCATTTGTTAAACATGTAAGCACGTGGTCCAAAGAAGAAATTGAATAAGACAATTTAACTACAAAATCTTTAAATTGTTTTTATTGTGCTTCAATGTCAAGTGATTATATGCTTATTGCACGTTTAAAAAGTGGCAAATAAATTTCCGATGTTCTCACCGCTTTGACATAAAGGAAACAAACGTGAGAAGAATAAATTTTGAATGCTCTCACCGCTTTGACATAAAGGAAACAAAGTGAGAAGAAATATTAAGAATGTCAACAAGCTTCAAACAAATGAACCTCAACGACATTCCTCCACAAAGAAAAAAAAAACGGAGAAGAGTACTAAGAGAAACAATAATATTAAAACTTATATGTCCCTTGTAGCTAGTTAAAGAGGAAAAAACAGCCATCTCTACCTCAAAGTCCCTCTACTACTATGAGGACTACAAAGAGATAAATTGATTATCATATGCAAAGTTCTCCAATGCTTTAAATGAACTAAATGTTCCATTTAAAAATTGAAAAAAAAAAAAGAAGAAACATAAGCCAACAATACTAATAGAAGCAAATTAGTTTAGGCATAAAAATCCAAGAAACAAGTATTTGTTGTAGGTATGCCTTCATAAAGGATTAGTTAAGACATATTGGAGAAGATGTGGATTTTACATGTCCAAAAATGAATCAACTTGTGAACATCAAACATCTAGGCAGAGTATAATAAAGATAGGTAAATTAAGCACATGATGTATTTATCTTTAGTATCAACTATATAATTTGCAATCGGTGCCATTCATCTTATTGGAACTCAACTAAATTAACTGGAGAGCCATTTTGCAAGGACAGCAAGGAGATGACAACGCGGAATTACTAGAGCTACAATCATCATGATCATCATAAAAGCCTTAATACACTAACACAAAACGGGCATCTAAAAGAAACTTTACCTAAAATTTCCACGGATTGCATGTGTGGAATGATGGAATTGCTGAATTGAGAATCAACAATAGGATGCCTCATAAAGATATAAGCCCAGCAGAGCTAAACCAGAGTCAAAGAAGCAACAATTCTTTTTAGGGGCATTGACGTACATACCACCCAATTCTTATGTATTTACAAATCTAACAACTAAACTTTATTTTTTACATTGATACCACCCAAATCTGAAAAACAATATTTCATAACATATAAAAAATATAACTATTTTAACTTTTAAAAATTGAAATACACTTTTTCATGTGTATGTAAGGTGGCATATATGTAAAAATTGAAGTTTAGGTTTTAAATATGTAAATACATGGGAATTAAGTGAATGTATGCAAATCTTCCTTCTTTTAACATAAGATCTGGGGGCATGCAGGAAAGAATGGGTGTTCAAGGTAGGGAGAAATCAAACAACCAGCAGTCGCCTCCACCACAATGTTAGTACTATACTAATTCCTTTAGTTGGGCTAGCGAACAATTTATTTTTGCAAACACAAAGAACCAAGACAGTAAATAAAATGGCTTCATAACATTTTTACTAGCATTTTGCCTATAATAAATCCTTGGTTTTCACAAATAAATGTTGTAAATTCCTCTGGAAAAAAAACAATATATATGGTTGCCCAACTTAGAAGATGCACAATAGTAAAACAATGGCTGGCAAAAAGAATTGAAAGACTTCTAGATTATTTTGTTTATCTCGTACAATCTTGGTTTCTTCACAAACATTATTAGGACTCTTCCCTTGAAGAAGGCATCAATTTGCAGAACCTTATTTCTATGGAACATTTACATACATACCACACAATTCTTATGTATTTACATATCTAGCTCCTAAACTTTCATAATTGCATACTTAACACTCAAATCTTTAAGATCACATAAATAAAAACATTATTACTAATAAAGGCTTATGTCACCAAAGCGTTACAAATGCAATAATCAAAATTTAGGTGTTTGATACATAAATACATAAGAATTATGTGATATGTATTTAAATTTACCTATTTATATTTGAGCAACAGTATAGTTATGTTTTCAGAATCTGTTAGCAGATTCTATTTCAAACTCTGAAAAAATGCAGTAGAAAGAGAGCATAAAAGAAAACAAGCATAAATCATTTTAAAAAATTAAAGAATTTATCAGCATTATCACTATCATGTTATATATATCAAAAAAGTAGAAAGGAAGATTACTCAACATACATGGTAATAATGCACATTTTTCCATCAAAAAAATTTAAATTGCAAAAAAATGAATTTCTATGATTTAGTAGGCATTGCTAAAAAATATGAACTTTAAGAAAGGCAAAAGGCAAAGTTTTGCATACCTTCACAGGAAAGGTCCCAGGAGGGAGCTTTGTGGTAAGCAAGTCCCTGAGGCGACGAATTGCCTTCACTTTGTTTGCAAGAATATCAAGCAGTGGAAGAAGCTCCTCAGACTGAAGAGGAAAGCTCGGAGAAAGCCATAGAACGGGCCTCAAGCCTTTTTTATACTCACTCTCCCGACTACTTTCCTTTCTCCAATGTCCATTCTCTGAACTTGAAGCAGGTCTCTTAGAATCCTTTTCCCTACCTTTCCTAAGTTCCTCACCCATGGCGGTACCCTCTACTGAATGCCTTCCTGGCTTGTTCTCTAACCTAGAAGGAGAATCATGAAGAAAAGAGCTAACTTTATCGTCTACAGAAAGGGAGCTTCTTGGTGGAACAAGCTTCTTCTGCTCATCTTGTTTCGCATAGTGGCTCCGTTTTCCCCAATTACCAAGCCAACCTTTCTTCTCAATTTTAATTTCACCATTGCTGCAACTACTAACATCTTCAATCGGAATCTCTCTCTGTTCAAAGCAGCTGTGCCGGTGGCCATTAAATCCATCAGAAAAACCTTCATCTATAACACCAGCAGATTCCATTTTAAGAGCAGTTTCTAACTGTTTCCTCTCTTCCTCTGTCAAGATATCTTCGTAATCTTCACTCTCTGTGTCATTTTCATTACAGGAAGAGAAGAACTCTTCATCAGTCATGGCACCAGGGACCCGCCTAGACTTGACACTCACAACCACATTATGCATATCATACACCTTCGCTTTCCATGGGCCAACCATCTCAGTCTTCTCCTGCCTCCTCCATGTTAGCTGAGGAAGCAGCACAGCTTGCGTTACATCAATACCTGGTCGGAAAATGTTTGTTTGAGACATTGCTACAACCTCCTGCTGCACCTCTTCCTCGGTAGCCGGAGAACCTGCGCCATCCAAGGCATTCATCACCTCCTTCTCCTTGTGAGAAATCATGCACAGCGAACCAGGCGGCACCTTTCCATCCTCTGATCCATCACCAAGAAACAAAATGCTCTGATCAGACCTCTGTATTCTGAAACCATCAAAACCGGCAAGTGTCATGTCTGCACGCAAATTCGACCCCCTCTTCCAAATCTTGTAAGTATCAGATGGAGCGATTCTTGAAATGAACGGAATCACGGAGCTCTCGAAATGGAAAGTGATCTCCATGTAGAAATCCCTCATCCTCCTCATAGTACTGACAACCCGAGGAAGCCTCCTGCACCACTTGGCCCAAGCAAGAGGCTGGTAGTGTCTGATGATGATCTTAGCGAGATTCTCCTCTCGAGCACAAATGGCTTCCTGGAGAGCACTCCATCCCTGCTCATTCTGCAAGCTCCAGTCGGCACCTGCAACCATGAGCATCTCGGTGGCAGCGGCATCTCCCAGCTTAACGGCAAGGTGCAGAGGAGTCTCCCTGTTGGGGACATCACGGCTGTCGATCACAGAAGAGACAGCGTCAGCTTTCTCCTCCTCCGCAAGCGAAGCAGCCTCCGTTTTGATCTCCGAGGGGTCTAGTAACCTTGGAAGACTCGCCAGTATGCGCTTCAGTCCAGAATAATCCCGAGCAAGCACTGCCTTGTGGACAGGACTGTGTGCGTACTTCAATGCATCAATTCCGGCCATTACAGACGTAGTAGTTATAAATTAAAAAAAAAATCAAGAGAAAAGAAAAGATATTTCCTCCACGACTCTGAAGAAACAGGAAAGAAAAAGAAAACAGAATCAAAATCTCATCTTGAACAAAAATCTAAACCGGGGTAGGGTTTGAGGAAACCCTCTGAGAGGAAATGGAACAGCTGATGCCCCTGATCTGTGACACCCAGCATAACTTGCTATGAACGCATGTGGCCAGCGGATAGATGCGTATTTAAATGGAATAAATATACCGAGAGCAAGAAAGCAAGAAAGAGAATATATAGAAAAAGAGAGAGGGAGACGGGTTAATAGGCTAGGTATTTATAGATAGGAAAAGAGGAGGAATCAAGCAAGAAAAGGAGAAACAAAACAGCATCAAAGCATTAAAGCTAAGTAAACGTAATATTGGAGTTAAAAAGACGCAATTAATCCCCAGAAAAGAAAAAAACTTACCTCCCCCACACAGCAGAACAACAAAAACAGGAAGAAGAAGAAGAAGAAGAAAAAGGAGGCAGCTTTGATTGGAAAAAATGGTTCTTTCACCTCTGTGATACCTATTTATCACCTAAAATAAGAGAATAAAGAGAAATAAAATCGAGGAGGAGGAGGAGGAGGAGGAGGAGAGCTCATGTGAGGGAAGAGAATGAGAGAGAGGAAGGGGTTCTTTGCCATTTTTGGAGAGGGGACCACACCATAATACGCGTCGGTGCGGCATGGAGGCGCCACGAATCGGGAGATGAAGTGAGAGATTAGGGGATAGAGCTGGGAGGGAGCGGCGGGCTCGCGGGCCCTCCGGTGGGGGCTCGGTGTTTCTCCGGTGTACGGTGGCCGAGGGTGGGCCCCAACTTCTTTGGCCTTCCAATTCCTCGTCGTTACGCGGCCCCGAGTCTTTTTCGGCTACTCAAAACTTTCATTCCTAAAGGAATTTTTGGGAGAATAAAGTACATACGTATTTATTTAGGAGTTCAAGTATAATCTCTCTTCATTTTTAGCTCAATTTTTCAGAAAAAAATAAAATTTAATATATATATATATATATATATATATATCAAAATAAAAAAATATCAAAATAAAAAAAATTACAAATATATCAGACTATATGTATATACATATGTATCTAAAGAAAAAATATTGTGGAGTCCAGACCCAAGCTGTACAACAACAAAAGTGATATAGTGGAGTTTCAATTTTTTTCTCATTCGCTTCATCTGCTATTCCGCATCCGTTGTCGGAACGCAGCTTTGCGTCCGGACGTAATATTTTTTTGATATAAACTCTTAAAATATTACTATTTTTAACTTTTTAATAGTGAAATTCAGATCTTTCATGCATATATTTTAATATTTAGATATTAGATATTCAGATACAGTAAAATTATACGGTATATATCTAAATTTTTCAGCTAATATTATTTTAATTTTTAAACAACTATAAGAACTTTTTGATATATTTTAGGATATTCTAATATTAAAAGCTTACAAAAAATAAAATTAGAATATTTTATTTACATTTTTAATCATTATAAATTTTGGTATTATTATGCTTATTTTAAGATAAATATAATATATTTTATTTAATTTTTACAAACATTGCACTTGGTATAAATAAATATAATAATCTTTTAGATTCATTTTTTATTTAATAGTTGTCAAAATATTCCATTTTTGTTACAACTTTAATGGAATAATTACTTTTTAAACATTGAAAATTGCAATAATATGATAAACATTTATAGTATACTTTTAATTTTGTGAGCATTTTGGGCAGGCATTTGACGCCTCCGATTTAGAAATTAGAAAATATGGGCATGCAGGGCTCATGATTTGAAATTTTGCCTGGTAGGCCAATTGAATATGCTGTGATGAGGTTTGTCACCTAATTATTTAAGCATGATAAGAGAATAAAGCAATGGACTCTCTTCTTGAAATTGATACCTAAATTTCAATTCTCACATTTTTATGTCAGTACCTAAATTTACATATATATCAATTAAATCTTGTGTATTTACATATCTAACACCTAAATTTTAATATTTACATAGATGGCACCTTACGCGTGCATGAAAATGTGTGTTACGCTGTTAAATGTTAAAATAATGATAGTTTTAACGTGATGTTAATAGGTGGTGTAAATGTGAAACTTAAAGGTTTAAGGGTTAGGTATGTAAATATATAAGAGTTCAACGCACACTCTAATGAAAAAATGATAAGCAGTAGGAAAACTATAAGTTTTATATGGAAAAACTGGAAAAAGAAAAAACTACGTGGCTTTTGCCGTGTTGAAAATTTTTACTATGAGTTGATGATTACAACTACAGCACCTTAGCCGAAAGGCGGGAAATTGTTATATTGTTTCTCTGATTACAAAGTTTGTGTGCAGAAGAAGTTATTGCTTCGTGATTGGGAGCGAGCAGCGGCCGATGTTGGTTGATGGTGGTCGATAATGACCGATGGGTGGCGACCGGAGTAAGCTGGAGGCAGCGGTGACTGGAGCAGAAAACGACCTGAGGTGGCGGCAAATGGAAGAGGTGGCGATGGCCAGAGGCGGTGGAGACCGAAAGTGACCGCGGTCATAGTTGGTCGGATATGTAGTGAGGGATGCTCTATACACCCTTTTCTGCAGGGAAAAATTTTATGTCTAGACTCCGGCGTAGCTGTATGTGCGTAATCCCAGTAATACACCACCATGTGTGCTTTATCAACTCCATCTAAAAAATATTAAAGTGGAATCACGGAGGTTATTGAAGTGGATCCGCGGAGGTTATTGGAGTGGAACTACGAATGTTATTTGAAGGGTAATTGAGAGGTTATTGGGGGTTATTGTGGTATTAACTCCAATAACACCACAATAAACCTTCAATAACCCTCAATAATCTTCATGATTTCACTCCAATAACCCCCCAATAACCTTTGTGGTTCCACTTCAATAACCCCCTACATTAACCCCTGCAATAACCCCTCAATAACTCCCAAATAACCTTTGTGGTTTCACTTCAATAACACTCAATAACCTCTGTGATGTAGCACACGTGTCGGCATATTACTAGAGTTCGCACGTAGAGCTACGTTCGGAGTCTGAACAGAAAAATTTTCCCTTCTTCACCCTCTAATTTTTGCTTACCCAGAGTCTAGGTTCTCTCTCATGAGACGGGTAAGATTCTATTTATAGAGTTCAGTTTGCAAATAAGAAAGTAATCTGACCACTCTTGATTGAAAGACCTAAAGAGACCTGTGGAAAAATTTTATGTCTAGACTCCGGCGTAGCTCTATGTGCGGACTTCTAATAATACACCACCAAATGTGCTCTATCAAGCCCATCTAAAAAAATATTAAAGTGGAATCACAGAAGTTATTGAAGTGGAACCGCAGAGGTTATTGGAGTGGAACTACGAATGTTATTTGAAGGGTTATTGGGAGGTTATTGGGGGTTATTGAGGGTTATTGTGGTATTAACTCCAATAACGCCACAATAAATTTTCAATAACCCTCAATAATTTTCATGATTTTACTCCAATAACCCTCGCAATAACCCCTCAATAACCTTTGTGTTTCCACTTCAATAACCCCTGTATTAACCCCTCAATAACTCCCTAATAACCTCTGTGGTTTCACTTCAATAACCCCCAATAATCTATGTGATGTAGCACAAGTGTCAGCATATTACTGGAGTCCGCATGTAGAGCTACTTTCGGAGTCCGAACAGAAAATTTTTCCCTTCTTCACCCTCTAATTTTCTAGGTCCTCTCTTATGAGAAGGGTAAGATTCTATTTATAGAGTTAAGTTTGAAAATAAGAAAGTAATCTGATCACTCTTGATTAAACGACCTAAAGAGACCTGCATAATTGGTCGTTATTCGGTGAACATTTTACTGCCTTCATGATGTTGGACAATCTTTGGCCCTTAAATTTGTCTTGTCGAGACACTTGATTTGCATACAAGCATATCATATTTAGAATCCATTTGACTTTTCAATTATACCCGGAAAGCTCTCAAATGTCCTATAACGACTTGATATGTGTTTGATTTTAACTTACATTGGACCAACATTGATATCATTGGTTTCATTTCGTCAAGTTAGTTTGTTTGATTGTAAGTTTTCTAAAATTGGAATTATGGATGATTAAAGTTTATTGTTAAAAACAACTTTGAGATCTGTGTCATATCTTGAGGATCATATCGGGTGATGAAAATTTGTTGAAGGTGTATCATACGTAAATGTCCATTTTTTATAAAGAATAATTTCAAAATAAAATTAATTAAACTTTTATGTAAAATAATTGTGATTGATTTTTCATATAATGTATCCATTTTGAAGTAAATCTAATAATTTTGATATTCATTATTGCCCAAAGAAATACTTTCTTCAACAAATATATGGACTAATTTTTATGAAAAATATTTTAGTGGAGTATAACTGATTGTCAGCATTTGAAAGTTAATATTTTGATCATATTGATTTTTGTTTTAAAAATATGTAATATTTGTTATGAAAAATATCATTGGGATGTAGTAAACAAGCCGAGCTTGAGCGAGCTCAGGTTGGGCTCGTGTTCGGCTCATTCGAAATAGCTCGAGTTCAAAATAGGCTCGTGTTCGAAATCGGCTCGTGAACAGTGTGTTCGTGTTCGGCTCGATTTAAATATTCGTGTTCATGTTCGGCTCGTGTTTGGCTCGAAATTGGCTCGTTAAACTTAAATTGAGAAAAATAGATGTAAAGTGTGGGATTCGAACCTGAATCAAATATATACAAAAAAGACATTAACCACATTGTCATATGAGGTGTTATGATTTAAATTTAGACATAAATATATATAATATATTATTATATAAATAATATATGTAATAGATTGTTATATAAAAAATTATATATTTTTTTTTTCGAGCCATTTCGAGCCGAACATGAGCGAACAAACTGTTGTTCGTGTTCGGCTCGTTTAATAATATATGTAATATATTGTTATATAAAAAGTTATATATATATATTATTTTGAGCTAAAATGAGCCGAACACGGGCGAACAAAGAGTTGTTCGTGTTTGGCTTGTTTATAATTCGAGCTTTAAAATTTATTGGTGTTCGGCTCGTATACTTAACGAACGAGCCAAACACGAGCTGTTCACGAATAACGAGCTTTTTTGACAGCCCTACTGGGAAGTGAGATTTTTGCTTTTATGTGTAATATTTGAACCCATGAATTTTATAGAATTCTAAATATAATTTTTAATTTCATGTATGAGTTAACCAGTCTGAAATGATTATCTTACAAGCAACACAACAACATATGGACAAAAATGTCTTCTTTTGATAAACAACTGCAACACAATGACTGTACAACCGTAGAATACAAACAGACATAGCTTCCCTATAACAGCTTCATCACACAACTACTGCGTAGTGGTTTTTCAAACATCTGCAACTATCCCAAATAGACCCTAAGCTTGTTATTCAACTCACACAAAACATTATAAATTTTCAATATTTGTTCTGATCATGTCTAGGGTTGTAATCGAGCCGAGTCAAGCCTAGTATATTATAGTTTGGACTTGGATTGATACAATTATAATTTGTTTATGTTCAGCTTAAGCTTGTGTCGAGCTTTCACATATTGTTCAAGTTTGATCTGTTTAAATTTTTTAATATTTGAACTTCATTTGTTTATGACATATTAATGAGTATTTAAACGAGCTAAAAATTTAAACAAATTTCTAAATTTTCATATAAAGATATAATAAATAATTTCACAAATCTAAATAAAGAAAAACAATTTTGTAAACAAATTAACTAATCCACATACTATCATCTGATGTCTATAATAGAGACATTCCCACAAGAATGAATTCAAAGATAGAGAAAAAAAAATTTTTGAAAACAAAGACAAAAAGTTTTAAATGAATTAGTATTATAAAGC